CAAAGCTGGGAATTCCTGAAGTATTCTCATTGCTATCTATTCATACTATATCTCAATTATCTATCTTTGGGTTTACATCCCACCGTCTCTCCATCTTATAACTTGACTCAAGCCACGTGTTCAACGGACTCGCCCTGCTTCGCGTTCAGGTCCTCGACTATCATAGGAATTTCCTTAGTTGTAACGGATGTACGGGGGATGCGGTATGGCCTGTCGGAGTTGTAGCCGCTGGAAAGAACAGAGAAACTGTTAGTAAAGTGTACTCTCTCTATACTTTAGGAGGAGATAATTGGGAAAGACGAACAAGATGTAGTCCATTTGGTTGATGGTCAGTCCTTTGGTCTCAGGCAGAATGAAGAAAGCCCAGACCACGCTTCCCAACATCCAGGAGGCAAAGAAGTACCAAGTTCCGTATCCGAATGAGTTGAAGATGTACGGTAGAGCCTTGGTCATAGCGAATTGGACAGCCCTGGGACAAATATTAGACCCTGCCTCCGATTAATTAGACAAGGTAACTTACCATTGACACAGAGCAGCCCAGGTCCCTGCAAAGTTGCGAAGAGCGCCGGGGAAAATCTCCGCAGAAACAATCCAGGGAATGCCATTTAGGCCAAAGGACCAGAAAATGGAGTAGATCATGATCATCCCAGTCGCAGCTTGGCCGCCCTTAGCCGTCGAAGCGGACAAGGTGCCGCCGGCTTTAATTATATCTGCCGGGTGGCCAACCTTGACATAGGTGCCGACCACCCAGAGACAGAGCGAGCACATGAAGCCAGACACGATAACGGGTCTGCGACGCCCGACCAAGTCAATTAGAAGGATGAAGAAGATGAGAGACGCGATAGCCTTCACCAAGCCGTAAATTCCAGTGTACAGGGCCACTTCAGTGATGCCGATGGAGCCGAATAGCGTCGGAGAGTAGTAGTTGATAGCCGAAGCGCCGGAGAGATTCATGAACGTGAACGAACAGAAGACGAGGAAGACACGGTTCCTCATACCCTTCCGCATGAACTCGGCCATGGCGCCACGGAAGAAGGCCCAAGCGCCGGTCCCGTAAGCCTTCGTGATCGCAGCCTCTTCGGCCAGCTTGCTCTGAATCATGGCAATCTCCTCCTGCACGTAGGGGTGATCGCGGGGTAGCCTTCTCAAAGCCTCCAGAACCTTATATGACTCTTCGCTCTTTTCCTTGCGCATTAAGTGAAGCGGCGACTCGTGCAGTAGGAAGCCGGAGATGAACAGGACGCCAGCCGGCACAAGTTGAAATGCCATCGGGATCCTCCAGCTGACGGAAGTGGTGGGCGAGATGTGCTGCGAGATTCCGTAGTTGATCCAGAAGCCTATGACGGAGCCTACTTGATAGGCTACCTCGAATAATCCCGTAAGGATACCTCGGATGGACGAGATCGACAACTCGGCAATGTAGCTGGGGACTGTGGCGGTGATTGCGCCGCAGCCAAGTCCAGTGAGAACTCGTCCAGTATCTGGAAGAGTCAGTTTGTTTGCAAGCATACCTGGGCCCGGGGAGGGAAGAGGGATCAAAATTTACAGATGAAGGAAAGCTGATGTGTCGCAACGGTCATCAAGATTGCACCGATGATGAAGATGAAGACGTTGATCTGGAGAGCCCCTTTACGTCCCCATTTCTCCGTAACTGCGAATCGTTAGCGGATTTCCAGTTATGACGCGTATAGGAGACAGGAGGTTAGCCATACGGAAGTAACAAAACAAGGCACCAAAGAAAGCTCCCGCCTGGAAGGCTGAAGTGATGTTGCTCGAGATATCGCTGGAGTTTTCAGGGGTAATGCCAAAGGCAGACTTGAAGCTCGTCCTACTAATCGTAGTCCCTATAAACGCCGAGTCGTAGCCGAAGCTGTCTTTATATTAGCAGTTGTCAGAACGCTGAGACAGCATGGCGGCAGCTTACAGGAGCGAACCCATCGAAATGATGATTGCCTCTGTGTATAGACGCCAGTTGTACACCTCCTTAGGCGTAGGCCTGTCTTCGATCGCGCGTAGTCCGCCCATGTTGGCGCCGTTTCTCAAATAACCCTCGTAGAAGAACGCTTTGGGATAAGCGAAGGGGCTTCGATAGTCAGACCGTTGGTTGAACGATGATGAATGCCAGCGCAACCCAACGAGGAAGATCGTCCAGGTTTTGTAGTTCGGCTGGGGTCCGGGGCCACACGTGCTAAAGACTGCCCGGATCTCGAAGATTTATTCCGCACAGGTGACCCCACGGGGATTGGAGTGCATCTGGGGGTGTTTGGGGAGTTTCGGCGCGGGGAAATGAGCGCTAACAGTGTCTGCAGAGTAGCATACTCCAACCCTCGCCTCGCATGGGGTGGGGTCTTGGAGTGTCTGCCGGTTCCCCACGTTCTACGCCTGTTCTCCACCAGCAGGTACTCGTACGATGCATACGAGTAGTAGAGAGGTCCCAGTTCTCCGGTGCTTAGCGATCCGATCGCTTGCGCTAGGCTTTGCCTGGCTGTTAGTGGGGATAGTGGGTGGCGACTTACCAATAAAGTCACGAACTAACGGTTTCGGCTCGCCTGTCGGCTTTTTTCGTAGCAGATGATCGCTGCAGGAGGAGCTAGTGGCTCCACAACTTAGCCGATGACCGGAGAAAGAAACAAAGAGGGTTTAGCCTCCATTATTCCTCGCCACGCACTCCAAAGTACGCCCATTAATATAACTAACCTAATACTTACTATTGGGCCCACAACTCAAGGTAGATCCAGGGGGTGGTGGGAATAAGATTTCATAGAAACGTCTTGAATTGGAGGGAGCGTCCCTTCTCCATGCAGCCCTAAAGGGAGACAAGGACGAGTAGCGAAATCTCCAGGATAATAAAAAATAACATTGCCTGGCCTGCCATTAACCCACGCGCTCAAGGTATAATACAAGTCTACCTGAACTCAGCCTCTTAGCGAAATTCACAACTTGCCATGACGGATGCCCGCCCGTAAACGAATACAGTAATACAGTCTCACCACTGAGCTATGACGGTAACGCCGACGGCACCAGGACTCGCCTCCGTGGCTCAGTGGCAAAGCGTCTCACTCGTAGTATAACACTATCGCAATGAGAAGATCCTCGGTTCAATTCCGAGCGGGGGCATTCACTTTGTATTTTTGGTGATATATTTCACCTATTTATAAAAGTGCCTATATTTTACTTCGCTCTCTTCGTTTCTTAAGTTGGATGGGTCTTTCTCTAACTGTCTCATTTAGTAACTACTTGGAGGCTACCATTATATTAGCTGGCTTTAATACTCTCCGTTGTCTCTACCTCCAGTACTTCGAGAAGCCGGCCAGTTAGAATGAGAAAGATCTTAGGCTCGATTCCGAATAAGGACATTTCTCATTTCGCCCTTTTCTATCTTGATGCAACTATCTTGCATACTGTTTTGGCAACGAAGAGTAGCTTAGGAAAACAGCTTATCTACTAGCTATAAGAAAGGACCCTCTTGCGTCAGATAGCATTATGGTTCCTAAAAACTTAACAGGGGCTCTCAACCTATATCCAGGGTTGCTAGGGAGATCCAGTAGCTTAAGGTGTACGTAGGTTGGCTTTACTGCGTCTAATAGATATGCCTCTCTTCCGCCTTAAAAAAATTCCAGTTCAGCCTAAGTGATAAAACTGTTTAGCAGGTGGTTAATATCTCTATATTTAGCTGGGTCTATTGCAAACTGATTCATTTATATAAACACAGTTACAGTCGTAATATGGGCGGTTTTATTAGGTCAATAAATGGGATGTCTATCTCGGAATGTGAAAGCCGTTGACTACAGAACCTAGATGTAACGATTGTACATGTTTTCAATAAGTTCTTGGTCTCTAGAACCAATATACCTATAGATACGGTAGCTCTGAAAAAAATATTGAGGTATTCGCCAGTTACATCTTCCCTAACGCAGCTGCAATGATAAAACAGTCAAACCCTATATCATCCATCATCGCAATTGAGGAGTATCCAACAGTCCTTATCGCATGTCCATCATAAACCGAGTAACCGCCGGAACTCAAAACCGCTCCAAGGAGCCCTATATTCTCCCAAAGACCTTACTCAATGCCATTATAAGCAAGTTTGTTAGGGCTTCCGGTGCCGGGGTCTGAGATGACACCAGAAGTAGCAAGAGCGATAAGCCTGTCAGTAGTAGCCTTGGGAGAACCAAGTCCCTCCAGTGACTTGAGGTATAGGACGAGCCCGGCAATATGAGGGGTAGCCATGGAAGTCCCCGAGATGGTGTTAGTGGCAGTTGTGCTTCCAATCCAGGTGCTGAGGATATCGACACCCGGGGCGAAGATGTCAACCACAGATCCATAGTTGCTGAAGTAGGCCCTTGCATTATCGATATCGGTAGCACCAACAGTGATTGCATTAGGGGAGGATGCAGGCGAATATTTTTTAGCATCAGCATCGTCATTTCCAGCAGCCACAGTAGTGAGGACGCCTGCCTGGTAGGCAGCCTCCACGGCAGCGTTGAAAGCAGCAGAGTAGGAGCCGCCAAGGGACATGGAAATGACAGATACATCTTCACGGCCCTTTGAAGTAATGTCATTAACAGCCCACTCGTAACCGTCGATGACGCCATCAGTGGTTCCCTACAGTTTCGTCATCGGCTTTTGGTCGCAGTATGCAGGTATGAGATGGATGGGCAATAGGGTAGCCTACCGAACCAGACGCGTCAAGAACTTTCACACCAACTACATTCGCCTTCTTCGAAACACCATAGTCCTTTGAGGCAATGGTCCCGGCACAGTGAGTGCCATGACCGTTTCTATCAGTGTTATCGCTATCAACAGCATTGTATCCGAATGTAGCTCGGCCCTCAAGAGATGAGTGCCCAACATAGACGCCTGTGTCGACGACGTAGGCATAGGTACTCGAACCAGCTGAGGAGTCATAAAGATAGTCGGTATGGTCAGGGGTGGTATGTGAGATGCTGCCAAGACCCCAGGGTGCGTTGGTTTGGGTGATAGTCTCAAGGATCGACCAGACGGCAACAGGCTCAACAGCAAGGACCTGGGGATGTTAGCTGGATTGAATAGTTGAGTGACCCCCTATCCTATTCATATATGGGATAAGGGAGGCCTCTGATATTATGCTATGGTTGAGATCGAGCTTATAAGATTCGGGATCACTTACATCCTCATTAGAGCGGATCTCTTCAATCGTCTGCTCGTCGAACTGACCCGAGTATCCCTTGAAGTTCTTGCTCCACACCTTATCCACGCCTGCTCCCCTCCTCTGAATGCTCTGGGTGTGCAAATTGGCAGCCCAGGAGACATGTGATTCAACTGAGGCGACATCACTCTTTAGTGTGATGATGTACTTATCAGCGATGACAGCTGCAGTAGGGCCGGCAGGGGCGGTAGAGGCCTGGCCAAGGAGGGCCCCGAGAAGGACTCCAATGGTCTTGAGATTCATCATGATAGCGAAGAGATTAGGGGAAAAGGATATAAGATAGGTGAGATGTTCTTGACTGGGAACGTGATTCTGGAGTAGTAGCGAAGAAAAGAGTTTATAACGGAGAGATATCTAACCTCATTTTATACCCCACTGAGATATATCCTGTGGCGATGAGACATTCAGTCACCTTCTACTTTAAGGGTCATTAATGCATATCATCTCTTTCCCTATACCATGCCTTATCCACGCTGCCGTGTCCCCGGTAGTACGGAGCAGATGTGATCAGATCGATGTCCAATCAGGCGGCTCTCTCATCCCGCCAACTCTCCCAGGGTTCTATTCCCGTACTAAATATGCACGCCGAGATATACCACCTCTAGAAGCTTCCCAATCCAGCCATGCCCGTGACCATAAGTCCCCCATAGCGTCATCCAGAATGATTGACTATGGATGTATTCTAGTGCTCCGATGACAGAAAAGGGTGGTCTGTTCTCTCACCCGCCTCCGACCCGTGCCGCCTGTTTAGGGGGTGGGTGGGTGGGGGGGTGTCTTGCATTTGAGATCCACTCTGACCTTATGATTGGCAGTTCCAACTTCTTCACGAACCGCAAGCTCCTTCCTCTATCACGCCCCAGGATATACCTGTAGGCCAGAAGTCCCCCACTCTGCAAGAAAGGATACTCTAAAGCTTGGATGGACCAGGAGTGAAAAAATTCTGCCAATATGTAGGGGGTTCGCCCCAGCAAGAAAATTTCATGCTGATCGGGAAAGACAGCAGCATCACGAAACTGCTTGCTTTGGTGACGACTTTATTCTCAATATACATTTTGAGGCGGGGCGATAACCTTGCGTGCTAGTTAGGTCAAAATCCACCCGTAGTAGGCCGGGCTGAGTTACCGGAAGAAGTAATTGCGGAATACGGTGGTGCCCAGCCTTATCCCTTGAAATGTTGCCTTCGAAGGGTGTGCTACCTTCATCTCGGCATTCATGGTGGGTCCAGGTTATGCGTGAATGCCGGGACGGTAGACAGTGGGGCACAGGAGAGATATGCGCGGTCCTTTTTGTCTTGGCGATACTAGCCTTTTTGATCCTACTTTGTGGTCGGAGTGGGTGTGAAGGATGGGTGGGGATTTTGTAGTAAACAAACAGGGATTTGTTTCAACCTCGCAAGAGTTCTCCACTCCATCATTATGGAGGTAAAGGTGCCACAAGGACCAGCAAGGACTTAGTATTCTCAATAATAAACGATAGTAGTCCTTGGACAGTTTGCATGACAGGAGTGTTTTAATCTAAGAAGTTCTCTCTAGTCGCTGCATGACCTTGCAGCCCACGATTCTAGCTTGTATGTTTCTCTGGATAACTTAGCAATCAGTCAGTTATCTAGACATGTTTGTAATGCCTGTCATCCACCAAGGCCGAAATATACAGTTGGTAACAATTTCATAGCCTTTGCCACATTGCTATCTCCTTATAAACTCTATAATATAACATTCTAAAGCCAGGTAGCAGTGTTCCTTTTAGGCCTGCGGTATAAGGGATACCTAATAACTTGGCCATGGGAAGCAGAAAAACAGGTATTTTGGTAGCGCCATGAATATGACGACAGGTGTACTTCGTAAAGCGTGCGGAATGAATGGAGGCGAGATGGGCAATTAGGAAGGCCCTAATGCTGTGGTATTTGAATGTATATATCCCTATGACTGTCCTTTTTCTCCCTCAGCAGAAGGTCTATCTCACCCTATGGTCACTTCCGATACCAAATGAAGGCGTACCTCCAACATCCCGAGCTAGACCCCGTAGTATCCGGTCCAATGGCGTGCGAGATGTGAAACGCATTGTGCAGGGGCACCGAATCCGTGCCATCGTACTAGGACTTCAAAGTCCAGACTCTGATCAAAAATTAATTATATGGAGGGCTCGCCTGGAGGCCCGGCTGGGAGTTGAGACGGCGACCGGAAGTGAAGGAATGACCTCATATCGCCCCACTATCGCCCCTACTTGGGACGGCAGTGTTGTTGCTTATTTATCTATTGCTGCCCTATCGTTATTGATGTAGCACTGCCTGGGATCAACCTGAGGTACATAGGTCGCAATTTTACCAGGCTACTAATCTCGCCGTTCCATGCAGAGGGGGCTAAAATAAGTCTCCTGATAGAATGAAACCGAGGAATAAGATAAATGACTACAGACTAAGCCTTACGATATCACGGTCACAACGAACACTAAGGCAAAACCGACCGTCCCCAGTTTATGCGCTTATATGAGTCGAAATGTTATTTCCTTGGAAAAATCCGCGCGGAAGTTACAAACTCACGATATTGCAGTTGCAGGACCTGGGCTAGAGAAGGAACTTTTCTCCGTCATACGTCTCGGGAAGTGCGCCACCCTTGATGACTTAGATGGAGAATGACATGCGTGATAGGTACCGATGGTGATGATGCAATGGACAGGTATATGACAGAAAATGGGACAAGAGCCAGGAGGACAACGTGCGCCTCTTTGGACCTGCCGCTTTAGTTCATCCAATGGGGTACTTTTAGTACAGAGATCGGCGCTTGGGTGGTTGTATGCCCAGGAGATCGGCACTAGGATCGACATAACCTTGCTGATAACGTGGAGCCGTCACATGCTCTTGATTGGCTATTCACCCCACCAAAAAACGACAGACGAAAGTTCCTCTCTTTGTAAGGGGTCAGGGCAATGC